CTTCGAACCGTTGCTAGACCGCGAGAACACCTGCAAAAAACTCAACGCCGGAGGTGTTTCTGGCGTAGAGCCTCCGACGCTCAAGTCAGTATATCAGAGAGATGAAGAGAGGCTGCGCAGCAGCTATGAGGGAGAGTTTAGAATGAATTAGAGTTAGGGTTTAGGTTACCTCACCTTCTTTATATACGAGGGAACACTTACTTGAAGTACCCGAAATGCCCCAGTCGGTGGACCTGAAAGGTCTAAACTACCCTGGTCTATTCGTCTCCCCTTCTTGCTGAGTCATATCAAGATTCCTCCTTATCCATTGAAGGACAAGAGGTTCCGAGAAATGTACCAAGTGTATGGAATCGTCGGTGTGCCTCTCGTCTCGAGGTAGGAGGAGTCAACATCGAGTATGAACGAGTCGACCCAGGATCTTCTGGTTATTTTGAGGCTACGCTCTTGTTGGTCTTCTTAAATAGATGTCGACTTTCGGGAAGTCGACTGAACAATGTCGACTTCTGGGAGTCGATTTGTATGGAATCTGCCATTTCTCAGCATCAATCTTGTTAAGAGTCGACTTGGAGGAAGTCGACTTGAACATGTCGACGGGTGTTGTCGACATGTTGAACAGTTTGAGCCACTGTCCGGTCGAGTAGAGAGCCTCTGGACCTGTATATCTTTATATGACTATATCAGTATTAAAGTTAAATTTTTTATTTTATCTGCATTTATTTAATTTATATATGTGTGATTATATTAAAACATTGTTATAGCACATTGGTAAATAGCTCTCCACAAAAAACACATATACATTAATACATATCTTATCAACTAAGTATTTGTATATATGCCTATACACAATGATTTTTTGATGCTTTAAAATTTTGTGGTGTTGGTATATAAACTCAAAAGAAAATTAATCAATTCCTAAAACTATTCATGTTAAATAATTAAGAATAAAACAAATAAAGCGGAAGCGTACCATACTTCATGAATTGAAAATTCTTCTGTTCTTCAATTTGTTGAAGTGGTGTGTTCTTCCATACAATCTTGTTGGACTCGTATGGTCTTCCAAATGCTCGAAATCTTATAGCAGATGTTTATCTGCAATATATTATATATGTATTTTCTTCGTATGTTGTGTTCTATACTAACGTATGGTGGTGCTTTTAAAGGGAGAAAGTATCTCTTCAAAAATCTGCTTGTACCTTTTCGTCGTTTGGGGTCATAACCAAATAAATAATATTTATTGATTTTTCAGTTTGGTCCCTCAACAACTTAAAATTCTATAATGGTATTTACACGTTTACATCCATAATAATTTGATAATCTTTTATTTCAAAATAATAAATTTAGTAGATCACTTTAAGTAAATTATATTATGACAACTATGCACATTTAATTTACATATGTTGTCCAAAAATTTTTCTAACAATCTCCAACTTGGACTACATATGCAACCGAATAAATATGTATTACTTTATGAGCTCAAAAATTTGTTGTCACAAACAAGAGTATCATTTACCAATCTCGTTCATTAACCGTAATAACATAGCACTAAAGAGACATTCATCATTTTAAGCATGAATCAACCTATCGATAATCACACATATCAATACAATCAAATGACACAGATCAATTATGGAAGTGTTCATGAAAATTACATATAATGTGATCTTTCATGCATATTTTCAACTGACCACTTTATTCCTTAGTGAGATTGTAACAACAAATTTTTTGTATTGAATTTATGAAAAGCATAATGTTACTATCTATAATAAAAGTTGTGAAATTTAAAATATTATTATTACTAACTTTTATATTTAAAAGATAACAAATGAAAAGGATGGAGGAAATATTTTATTTCTTTAAACAAAAAATAAATGTTAAACTCTACATTCATTTACTTAAATATTTATCTTAAATTAATTGGATTATATTTATTCAATTCAAATTTAATAATTCTTAATCAAGAAAGTAAAAATGTATTAGTTTTGGTATCTAAGAAAACTAAATAACGATAAATTGAAACTCGTCTTAAAATACGTTGATTGCAATTGTCACTACTAATAACTTTTAGTAACATTATTTAACTGTGCTCCATGAAATAACATTTTCTATATTCAAGAAAGTAGAAGGGCTCTCTCTCTCTAAAATTTTTTTTGCCTAATTCACTAACCCTAGCCTCCATCTCTGGTGTGTGCGGGGCCTCTCCACTGGCGGAGCCCCTCTTCCCCAGTGAGACCGGAACTCTGGACGACACCATGGCTGACAACGAGCGACTGGGCGGGCTAGCGTGGCCTTCTTATGGGCCATGGCGGGAAGGTGCGATGGCAGCCGGGTTTTCTCTCGGAGGCGAGCACCGGCGACCTTCCTTAGGCGGTCTGTTCCCAAGTCGGTGGCTCTGGTTTTCCCCCGGTTTCTGTATGTTCTCTAGTGCTGAGTCGACAGAGACCTCCGACGAGTGTGGCGGCCAACTCTGTTTGGTCGAGCTGCGGTTGGCGGATGCGTGGGGGGAAGGCTGTGGTTTCGGTCTTCTAGTGCTAGTCCCGGTGGTGATCTTTCGTGAAGTTGTCGAGTCGTTTTGTCCTGATCTAGTTAGGCGGTAGGAGAGTTTCTAGATCTGTGTGTGGTGTGTGTTGGGCCTTCTTGGTTGATTACCTTGCTCTTTGTGCTTGTTTTGGGGTGTTTTGGAGGGGTTCGTTGGTCGGTGGAGAGGGTTTTATTCTAGTATTAGTTTTTTTCTTTTCTCGTGGTTTTTGTTGTGTTTTGTTTTCTTTCTCTCTTGTTGGAAGTGTGTTTCGTGTATTCTTCACTTGTGGGAGCTTTTCTTATTCTCCCGTTGGGAGCTTTTGCAGTTGTTCTAGGCTGCCATTGGTGTAGTCCTCCTAACTAGAGTCAGTCGGGTAGCTGATTATTCGACTATTTAGTTGGTTTCTACTCTGTAAATATTTGTTTATTTATAAAAGTCTATCATTTCGGAAAAAAAAAAAGAAAGAAGAGAAAATTTAACAAAGAATGAAAACAATATAAAAAAATATGTAAAAACGTAATAGTTTTACTACTAATAATTAATAATTATTTTTTCATGAAATTTGTAAAATGAGAAATAAACAATTAAATGTCTTTACTTAAGAATTAAGAAAAAATATCTATTAAAACTATTATATAACTTATATATATATTAATAATTAATAATATTGGACCCTGGGGTAAATGGGGGCCCTGGGCAGTCACCCGGCCCGCCATACCCCAGGGCTGGCTCTGTTGTGCAGTTTATTTATTGTGACATGAGTTACAAATCTCAAATTTTCCTTGTTATTTTTTTAGTAGTAGGCGAGCTAAATACGTTAAAAAATCAAGACCCAAAATGAGAATAGATTGGGCCGCCATTTGTAGAGTCTCGCAAAATACATGCTATGGCTAGCTACAAACCGACGTTCTGGCCTTCTTAACTGCTCTATTGAAAACGGGCAAATGGTAAACTGTTTTGCTATTCTAAAATCCCCATTTTACATATTGAACTCTAGGTCTATTTTCCACTCACCAAGCCCTTATCGACGCTAATTCTCATTGGTACCTCTGTATCGTCATCTCTCTTGAATACCCCAATTGTGCAACCCCACTCTATTTCAGTCATGCATTTGCTCTCAATCGCGTGGGGCACAACTTTCTGGATGTTAGTTTTGTGAGTTGAGACTTATGGGCTGTTATAATAAGTTGCACTTGTGACTTTGCGTGACCAAGCATAACTATAATTGCAATTGATCTATGTAGTTATTATGATCTGTGAACATTGAGTCCTAATCATTAGAATCATATGTCAGACTACCATTAACCCTCGCCAAAATGCGAGTTTGAGGCAACAACGTGTTGGACAGTCATTTCCAATGATGATGGGCCAACTAACCTTGATTCGACCAAAATGTGGGTTTGAGGCAAGAATGAACCATCTCCTAATGATGGCGGACTAGCTCACAATGTCATTACAAAATACGAGTTTTGGGTTTTGACAGGCTATAGGCCGGTTCGTGAGGTGGTCCGTTTTAACTAGGGCTGCTCATTCAGTCAAAACCCAACCGAACCGACCGAATTTTCGGTTAACCGAAAATTTGGTTTGTCTATTACCATAACCGAAAACCGATCAAAAATTTACGGTTCGGTTCGGTTTTTAATCGAAAATCCAACTGTCAGTTCGGTTCGGTTTTTCGGTTAATCGCAATAAATAATTATTCGTCTCAATAAATTTCAAATTTTTAACCGAACAAAAATTTTGATGTTTTATCCGAACAAAAAAAATTAATTTTTTATCACCTTGTTTAATCTTCTCAATAAATTATAAATTCTCCTCAAAGGAAGATCTCAGACTCGAACCGTGACTTGGACTATGACGAGGACAATCTTGAGTGCAAATTAATGCTTGAACCATTTTAGGGGTCATTGAATCTTTAAAATCATCAATCATTGAAGCAAATTAATGCTTTTATAACGTATATGTATAAATAAAAAATATGTATATATATGTGTGTGAAAATCGGTTTTCAGTTTGGTTCGGTTAACCGATCACAGTTATCCAAACCGAATCGAAAACCAAAATTTTTAAAAAATGTAAACCGAAAACCGAAGCAAATATTCGGTTTCGGATTTGGCCCAAATCGAACTTTCGGTTTCGGTCGATTCGGCTCGGCTAACCGAACTTTGTGCACCCCTAGTTTTAACCACTATTGGTGCATGGTAATTGGCATTTGGTATCTGGCCAGATCAGCAATCCCATTTTACCCCTGCCTTTTTCACTAATCTCGCAATCT